AGTGATGCTTCCTGCCACTCGCATTGACTGTGATCAGCGATTTGCAGCCAACCAGAGCTGCAATCCTCCGATGTCTGTGGAGGTGCAGGTAAACATAACAGCGGAAACCCGCCAAGGACTAGCCTTGCGGACTGCTGGTTTTTTATTGCCCACACTTATGCTTAAGTGACAACAGAAGAAGGGAATGTCTTCCTTTCAGAAACAATTGAAACCTCAGGAAAAGCACACACAGCAAAATGCTTACAAGAAATTGCAATAAAAGCTGTAACAAATTGGGGGGAAAAATCAAATATCTAATATACAGTTTGGTCACAGACTATGTTTTAAATGTATCCAAGACAGAAGAAATTTAGCTAACAACATATGGTTGCAGTGCTGTGCTCATTTTATGCACCTCCTAGCTAAAGACTTCAGTGTTCCAGAAATAAAGGCTAATGTTGCAGAATACTTCTGTAATAATCACTTTGCAGCAGCTGCTTTGAAAAAAGTGGGAGGAGCCAATCCAACTCTCCCACAAGATGTGTGATGAAACTCAGCAGTGGACTGTTTTGAGTACTATATCAATAACTAACCTAATCTGATGACAATTTGTGAACAAAATTGTGAAAAAATAGATGGCATTGTCACAGCAAATGTCCTCAACATTGAGCTTAAGAGAAATGTTGAACACATGCTGAGTACCCTAAAGCCTATTTCTTAACAAAATGCAGGGAAATAGCTGTCTTATTGCTGATGCTGTTGAAATTTGGAAGAACCTAAGGAAGATCTTAGAAAGAGAAAGATGCAATGACAGAGTTAAATTACAAGTATTAAAACAATAAATGGGAAAAGCACCAGGGTCAAACCTTAACTGCTGAAGACATGCTCTTTCAGAAGTCCTGTCTTCCTCATTCTACGAGGAAGAAGGACTCTTCCAAAATAAGAGGCTTTTCCAAAATTTGGCCTAGTATAAATGGGCCAAACTTTGGAAAAGCATCTTCTGACAAAACTATCAGAGAAAGGTACACAAATTGAGGAGTGCAATTTGCATACCTTTTGCCGAAAAAAAGCGGCAGTCTAGACATAGCCTAATTCACTCTAAAATTAGAAATTGTTTGGGACCTGAAAAAACAGGCAAGCTTGTTTCTTTTCTAGATTATGAACAAATAGGAAAATGAAGGAGAAGAAAATGGAATTAGCTGCAGAAGCCAATATTTTAATTTTCTCATGTGTACCTGACTAACATAGGGTGCATCTATACAACAGGGCTTAACTCAAAATAAGCTGCGTAAATTGAGCTACATCAATTCTGTAGCTTATTTCAAAATAGGGAGCATCCACTCAGCACTTATTTCAAAATAGAGCAATCTTCCTTCATGCATACATTTCCTTATTCCTCATACAATGAGGGTTACAGGAGTCAGAGTAAGAAGTCCTCCAGCTTGACAATATCTTGACACTATTTTGAAATAACTCCCTGCTGTGTAGATGCAGACTAAGTTATTTCGGAATAGTGTTAGTTATTTTGAAATAGTGTGACAGTGTAGACCACAGTCACTCTAATTTTTTTTTAATATTTCATTGAACTATTTTAGTTAGAAAGAACTTTATCAAAAACAAAACCTGATTTTAAAAAACTTGAATGTTTAACTAAATTAAAAATTAATATGCTTGTTTTGTTAAAATGTTATATGTTTGCTGTTGAAGAAAAAAATCCAGAATGTTGTTGTTTTAGTTAAATAACAAAATGTAAATGTCTGTCTGGTGATGTTCTTGTCCTAATACAGCATAGCAAGAAAGATCTCCAAATATTAATGATTAATCTGCTGAATTAGAGAAAGTGGGTCTTTGCCCACGAAAGCTTATGCTCCTACACTTCAGTTAGTCTATAAGGTGCCACAGGACTCTTCGTCGCTTTTGCAGATTCAGACTAACACGGCTACCCCTCTGAATTAGAGATAGTTAATCAATTTTATGAAGACAGAGCAAATAAATACATTTTTTTTCCCAATGCTGAAGAGCTCCTATAGACTGTTGGAAAGCGTAGTCAAGTACCTTCTCTCAACAGATCATGAAGCAAAAAGATGCTATGCCTTATCAAAGAGTCTCTGAAGAAACCCATGAGAGAGTATAGGAATAGCTCCTAAAAATACTGATTTTATTTTCAGTTTTTTCTTTTGTATTTACATTTTCTTGAGACAATGGCTACAAAATGCATACTCCTGCAGTTCTCCTATAAAGGTTTCCCCTTATTTAAAATTCAAGTTTAAAATGCCACATTTTCCACATTTGAAGAATTAGGTGGAAATATGAATTGCCTCCATGTAATCTGCAAGCAATGCAAATCCCCCACAGTTTTATTATTTTTGTATTAAATATTTTAAGTGAAAAATCTTTTAAAATGTCATTTTCAATTGTATAATTCATAATTTATGAGACATGTTGATAGATATTCCATCCTTTGGACCTATTATGATAATGGGATTTTTACAATGCATACATTACTACAGGAAAAACCCTTAAAAACAGTGGAATCCTGTGTAGTATCCATGCTACAAATACATATTATAGTGTATAGAACTCTGACGAACTGAAAAAAATACATAAAAAGTTAACAAAAAGCATGTATGCACATTATTTACTCTAAGATGGAAAAGTTGTTAATGGGGATTAGCATCTGAATCCGAAGGTAGTATATCTTACCTTGACTTCTCTCTACTATTGACTTTGTGTTAACTAAAACCAACAGAAGAAAAGGAAGAAACTGTTGGAGCATCTGAATACTTTTTTGCTTTACTCTAAACTGAAATACTGATATAAGGAAAACAATGTTTGGTTTTCGTTGTTTTTTAAAAAAGTTAGCAAAACAATAATAATCATGTGTCTGCAAAATGTAATTCCTTTAAAAAAAAATCAAGCCCTCACACACAGGGCAATGAAAAATTGTGACTAATAATTTATTTTAAAAAAGACTATTTTTAAATGGTCCAGCAGTAATTACTGGTCAAATTAGGCAGGAAAATGAGATTTTGAAATACTTCCTATCCTGAAATAAGACAAAAAGGAAAATCTCAAAAAAAATTAAAAAAGCAACAGCCAGATAAAACTCAGATCTCATCAACCAAAGGCTGCGTCTAGACTGGCAAGCTTTTCTGCAAAAGCAGCCGCTTTGTGGAAAAACTTGCCAGCTGTCTACACTGGCCGCTTGAATTTGCGCAAGAACCCTGACAATCTAATGTAAGATTGTCAGTGTTCTTGCGCAAATACTACGCTGCTCCCGTTCGGGGAAAAAGCCCTCTTGCGTAAATGTATTTGCGCAAGAGAGCCAGTGTAGACAGCTAAAAACTGTTTTGCGCAAAAAAGCCCTGATGGCGAAAATGGCGATCGGGGCTTTCTTGCGCAAAACCGTGTCTAGATTGGCATGGATGCTTTTCCGCAAAAAGTGCTTTCGCACAAAAGCGTCTGTGCCAATCTAGACGCTCTTTTCCGCAAATGCTTTTAACAGAAAAACTTTTCCATTAAAAGCATTTGCGGAAAATCATACCAGTCTAGATGTAGCCAAAATGTTTTGTTAATGTGAAATGCTGCATTTAGTTTTTTACCTTTTTCAATTTAACACTGTTTTAGTATAAATTCACTAAAATTTCTAAATAAAACCTTTAAATAAAAAAAATCCAAAATAAACTGAAATAAACTAAACTTGTCAGGATTTGTGGTGTTTGTCTTATTGCTAACATTGTTCTGTATTGTGTTTCAAAAAAGAGGGGATACTGCATTAGGCAGAAAAGGACGTATAAGCATTTTAACAGTATGTATTATATTGCAGAAGGGGCATCAGATGGGAATTTCACCCCTCTCTGGATTCCCCTGATACTCTTTTTATTGGACATGTCATGCCATTCCCTTTTGGAATAAAGAAAAATGCACTCTGATTAAATCATTTTCTCTCCCTACCCCTTCACCTCCTGCCAAATTGTCAGTAACATACCTATCTCCCTTACAATTACATATGGAAAGACGAACTCAGGGAACTTCAGGGAGCTGATTCCGCTTCTCAAATGCAAAGTCTGGAACATGCTCTGGGGTTACTGTATAGGGGAGGACTACTGCAGGGGTCTGCATTTAGTTCAACTGATCATCTGCTGGGGAACATCATTTTAACCCTTGAGAATATCACCTAATCCCTCATCACTAAACTAGTAAAGAACATAAAATCTATTTCGTGGGAAGAAGTCTGTGGCTAAGTTCAACAAACCCCACTGTCATTATAGCCTTCTGGATTGGAAGGGAACAATGTAGCTACCCAATTAAAAGAGTACTGGTCCCTTAGGGCCACCTGGCATACAACCCTGGGTGAATGCACACTGAATCCAGTGTATCGTTACTGTTTAGGGAGTGGCTGGAGGGAACTGGATCTCAGCTACCCTTCTGTAGTCAGGATTTGGGAGTGGGTGTAAATGGAAATGGTCCTGAGAACCAGTAAGGAAAGTTCAGATTGGAGTAAAAACCTCCTGGTTTCTAATGGGATCTGAGGCATATAATCCGCATATGGGGTTGGTGTAGGCAGAATCAGGAAACACCTGGGAGGGATGGTCACAAGAGCTACCATCCTTACAATGTACAGAACCAACACTCCTCTAGCACTGAGTGGAACAGGGAAATAAAATCTGCTGGAAGGGATAAGCTGTAATTTAATGGCCAGGCCATGGAAGGTGGGAGATGTGTGGAACGGGTGGGTTTTGGACTCAGAAATTTCTCCCTGCAACTGGGGAAACTCCACTAATCAAATCGCAATACCAGCCATGCAACAACTGAACATAACCAAACACCTAACGATACCAATTAACTGGACTAATGTGGTATCAGAACCCATATGGATTAATTGGGACTTTTTCACACAATTGCTGAGGAAACTCCAGGATGAGCAGCACTGTACACAGATTCTGGAAGCCCGAAACCCCTAGGGAATGTATGCTTTTCAAATAGCAACTGAGTTGCCTGAAGGCTGTGCTTAGACTAATGTGGCCTGGGACCTTCGAACAGGCCTAATGAACACTCATTAGCTTTTTAGTTCTATTACTCATGCTATAGGGTTATTATTTGTACTAACTGTATTGTTATTTGTATTAACGGGATATTTAAAGTTATGTGTTGCCTTAGCCAAACCCTGGAAACCATACTTGTAAAATTCAATAACCCTCCCATTTTGTCACCTGCCTTTCCTACTTTCCCATAGCATGACTGGTGGGGTGCCTTGGCCCTTCTTTGAAGAGAGTGTGGGAGTGTTGGTGTGTGTAAGGATTAAATAAGGGGTCTGGGTAGTTCTGAACATAGTAATGGGGCATGACCCAGGCAGACACTGCTTCTATTGATTTATAGACTTGCTTTGATTCCTCGTTTCCTGCTTGCTCAGGATAGATAAGCATGCAGCTGTACCAAATATGTAACTTTTAATGAATGCTCTATGTGTTAATAATATTACTTTCCTTACCCTCTTGTCTGGTCCCCTTTGCTCTAAAACATACTCAGGGTCACATCTCCTTCCTCCTTGTAAGTTGCTGATTTAAAGAGCTTTGATTTGTGAGAACTGCTTATATCAATTAAAAATCTGTAAACAATAAACAGAGGAAGGTATAATTATATTCATCACATGATTATGATTATATGGGTGTTCACATTACTAAATCAGAGCTTAAAGGGTGATATAACTGATTAGTGTATTTACGTACTAACGAAGATAAAAAAAAGTCTACCTGTGGTTAATTTGTTGTTCACTTGGATCCCAGAGTTTGGAGGGTCCAAGGTAGAATGAGTATCTGAAATAAAGGACCAGGGCTGGCCTTACCATAAGGCAAACCTGAGGCGGCCACCTCAGGTGCCAGACTGAGGACCTAGAGTGTAGAAAATTGTGTATGCTGCTGGTGCATATGTATTCGCTCTGCAGTACCATGAGAGGAGAAGAACAGGAAGGAGGCAGAATTGAGACCTTTCTAAGTTTTGGCCCAAACGAGGGGGTATGGGGGCCTCATTTGAGCTCCCCGCCTCACGTGCCAAAATGTTGTGGGCGAGCCCTGTAAAGCAGACCTCGAATATTCCACCAAACTGTTCCTGATGTGAGGAGAGAGAGCTGGGGAGAATCCTTTATCCTCACAGTAGCCCCAGAGTACCCTTCTTTACACCAAACCTTGGCCAAACCTGGCTCCACCTTCTAGCCTGTATTTACAGCCAGAGTGCTCGGATCTCTCTACTGCAACCTTCTGCTTCAGCCCTGAGTCCCTCATACCTGGCCCTACCCCGCTGCACGCACCTCCAGCTGAAGCCTTCACCTTCTTGCACCCTAACCCTATGTCCCAGCCCTAAGCCCCTTGTCCATGGCCCCACTCCAGACCGGTCACCTCCATATAGGTGCATCAAAAATTAATTCTGCACAAGGGCAGGAAAAGTTAGAGTGAACACTGGACCTGATGCAAATGGGAATTGCAGGGCGGGGACAGGACGGAAGGGGTCACAAAGTTATTTTGGGGAGGAGTCACAATATTGTCAGCCTTCTTTCTGCACTGCCTTGAGATTGGCTGGAGTGCAACAGCTATTGGCTGGGTGCCCACCTCTAAAGACTCATGCCGAATCCCAGAATCAACCTCCTCTATGGCTCTGCATTGGACGCAATTTAGGAGCTGGCATGCAGGCAGGGCTAGCTCACTATCAGCATCAACCCTTTGCGCTGAGTCCCAGCATCAACCCCTGCTGCGGTTCTGCAATAATAGTATTAATGCAGAGCCACAGCAGGGGTTGATGCTGGGACCCAGCCCAAGCTGGGACTGAGCTACAGTGCCTGTGTGCCGGCTCCCTAGTCACCTTATAACACAGAGCCACAGTGGGGGTAGTTGCCAGGACCTGGATTCAGATGGGAGTGAGTCAGCATGCCTACGCACCAGAACTGTAACAGGGGTTGTGGGACTGAGTGCTTGCAGTGCTAACCCTTATTAATTAATCGTGTAGTTGACAATATTTTTGTCCACTACGCAATTAACGAATTACATGCTTCTTAACAGCCCTACTTCATATCCCTAGTAATCACCAAACTCCAAAGAAACAATTTTCATACCATATGACTGACTGGATAATTTTGCCCTTAAAGCATATTTAATTAGGGATGTTAGCTATTGGGTAATGGACTAGTCGTGTAACTGTATGAAATCTTCACAGTTACACAACTATTTGATAGTCCCCCCAGGGGTGGGGCCAGCAGTGAGTGCACTCTGGCCCAACTCCTGGGGAGCCTCTGCCACTCCATGCAGCTGCCTCTCTATCAGAGACAGCAGTGTGGTGTGTCAGGGGGACCTGGTCTGCAAGGGGAGCCAATTAAAAAAACAGCTCTCCATGCAGACTAGTTGCCTGCCGCCTTAAATTGCTGCCTCTGACACAGAGGCTGCTTCATGGGATGTGGAACAATCTCTGTCCATGCGGGTGGTCAGGCCTGCCGCAGATAGAGGCTGTTTTGCAGCAGCTTCCTCTGCCCTCTCCATTGCTGCTGTCTCTGATAGAGGAAGCAGCATTGGCTAGAGGGGAGACACAGGTGGCACCGCAAAGCTGGTGTTGGGGAGAACCAGCTTTTAATGGTATTATATTAATGATATTTGTCATAACAGGGCACTGGCCAGATGGCATCTTGATGGACCTTTGCTGTGCACTGGATGGTGAGAGAAGTGTTCTAGTTTCCTGTGTAGAAAGAGGCATGCTTCATTTCAACCCATGTCCTTTCACAAAGAAAGATGTGGAGGGAAATCTGGGGCCTTCCTATTCTTGATCTTAGGTGGATATTGCAAGAGAGGCCTTGCATTAGCCTCTTAAAAACTCATCTGCCTTTGGAAGACTGAGGTGTGACCATGGTGGGTGGGTGGGGGTATGTGTGTGTAGGAGCCATATGTGCCATTCATACACTAGCTGTGTTCTGTTGTATTTAATAAAATATATGGCTTGTGCTCTAACCCCACTATTGTGTGTGGGCCAATAATTGTCAATTTGAAGAATCATCAGACCCAGTGCATTCATTTGGAAAATGGATCTCCAATGCCCTTCAGCAGATGACCTTTCATAGATTTACTACAAAAGATGTTCCAAGAAACAATGTGAGTCAAAACTTAATTCCACTGATGTAAGTGGGAGTTTTACCATTAACTTAAATAGGAACAGCATTTGGCAATATCCCTGTGTGAGATTAGCATAATAATGTACTTGGACTCATATAGTCTAACAGTTTATCTACTGTGGGCAAAAGCTATCCATCAACTTTAGAGGTGGCACTGACGACATGGTACTCATCTGTTCTCATCACAGAATTGGGAAAAGGGTAGATAGTTCTCCTCTGTTTTAGGCACTTGAAAAGTTTTTGCACTCTTCTTAGTGGGGAGTATCCTTCTGAACCCTGGAATGGCTCGAAGCAATTTTGTGAGTTCTCTTCCTCAGAAGTCCAGGGGAAGGAGAGTAGTCCCTTGTCTACTGCAGATAGAATATAAGTCTAATAGTATAAAAGTTACCAGTCCCAGTTCTAAAATAGTTTGAAGGGCTGGATGATTTATGAAAAGATCCCAAGACCTGAAGTAGGCCTCATGGTTTGGAGTATGTCTCTGGCAACGTGCATTCTCATTTTGAACAAGCAACAGATACTGAACTTTTCTTTAATGCGCATCTCTCCTAGGCACAACAAGCACCGAGTGTAGAGGTCCCTATTCAGGATAGCTACTCCAAAGAATAGCACTTAAAGCCTTGTGATGTCATAGCACCAGATGTACAAAACTAACACATAGCTAATTAAACTATTATACCTACCTACCTACCTACCTACCTACCAGGATACTACTAAGACAATACTAGCACTTTACAAAGCACACAAATAAATCTTTCTTTAGTTCATGAACTAGGAGGGAAAAAAAAATACATGGGACTCTCATAGGGCTGCCAACTTTGACTGAAACTAGGGAGTTGGGGCCCCCACTCGCTTCACTCACCAACCCCCAATCTTGGCTGGGGAAGGCCCAGGACCAAGGCTGCCCAGCTTAGGGATGTTAAACTAAATTAATCAACTAACCGAATAGGGGATGGAATTTCTATCGACTATTCAATTAGTCAATAACGGCGTTGCTACGTTGAAATGTAGCAAGAGCCCGCCCGGCTGTTGTTACATTTCAAAGTGGAAGTACCCTGCGGTATTCCACCTATGAAATGCTATATGGAGCCTGGGGTTAGTGGGGGGCTTAGAGTCCCATGCTGGCCCCGAATTTCATGCGGTGCTTCTGCTTTGAAATGTAGAAGAGCCCCAGAGGGCACTCTTGTACATTTCAAAGGTGGAATGCTGCCGCTGCACCCCTACCTTCTCCCATGAAGCTAGAGGGAACCAGCTTTTAAGCCAGTTACCCCCAGCACCCCATTCTCTCCTCCCCGCCCCCCATTGCTGCCTCTTTCTGATAGAGGCAGTAAGGGAGAGGCGAAGCAACTAGTCGACTTATGTCCCTACCCCAGCCCTGGCTCTTCCCCTACACGCCCCCCGCTCTCTCCCTGATCTCTCTCATCCACCTGCCCCTGCCACTGGGCAGGGCTGAGCCGCAGTGCACCAGTCCCAGTTCTCTCTCTAGCAGTCCAAGGGAGCAGGCCAAGTCTGTGCCAGCGCCTGCTCTGCCCTCCATCTAGGGCATGTCGGAGGGGGTGGATGTGTGGGGAGGGGAAAGATGGCACAGCACCTGCCTCCCTGGAGCACCAGAGAGGGGGAGGCCATGCATCTCCTGCCCCGCTCGGGAATGCAGAGGAAAGAGACTGCATAGTGCCCCCGTCCCGGGCACCGGGGAGGTGGAAGGGAGAGGCTGCCCAGCTCCCAAGGCTGCATGGCAGCTTCCATCCCCCAGCACCGGGGATGGGAAGAGTCTGCACAGCTCACAGCCCCACTGGAAAGGAGGAGACAGAGAGGCTGCATGGCAGCTCACGGCTTTCCCCACTCCCCCCCCCCCCCCCCAACCCACCGGCGGGGGGGGGGGGGGGGGGCGCCACCGCCTCCCCCTGCAAAAGTACCGGGGAGCAGCAGACTGTGAGGTGGTTCACAACTTCCAGCTCCCCAGCTGCAGCAATGTGCCACTTCTGCTTTCCCCTATCCGGACAGAGCACGGGGGTGGGGGTCTGGGGCAATGCACCACTACTGCCTTCCCGCTGCAGCACGGGGGAAGTGAACTGGGGCAACACTCTGCCCCAGCCTCATGTTTACTTTGAGGGCCATGGAGGGGTGCATTCGCATGCTGGTTCACAACTTCCAGCTCCCCAGCTGCAGCAATGTGCCACTTCTGCTTTCCCCTATCCGGACAGAGCACGGGGGTGGGGGTCTGGGGCAATGCACCACTACTGCCTTCCCGCTGCAGCACGGGGGAAGTGAACTGGGGCAACACTCTGCCCCAGCCTCATGTTTACTTTGAGGGCCATGGAGGGGTGCATTCGCATGCTTCACACCCACCCTACATACAGGCCTGAAGGGTTTCATGCCATGTATGAGGGTTGTTTACGAGTATTCATGATTGTAGAATACTTGGAAAATGAAAGCACTACACAAGTACTGTATTATAAATT